AATATTGCAAAATAAAGACAGAAATTATATCTATTAATATTACTAATTACTCTGCTAGCCCAAATTCCATTGACGTCGTATGCGGAAACAGAACTACTGTAAATTTAGAATCTACTTGGGTTGAAACGGAATTCCAGGTGTATCCTAAGTTGATAAAATCTATAAAATAAAACTGATAATGACAATTAAAAAAGTGAATTGCATATCGACATAATAAATTATCAATATTTAAACATAAGTTCTTCATTACAAAACGATATTCTGAACTTGATAAACAATTTAAAATCCATTTAATTTTATTGTAAATTGAACTTGAATTCTTTAACAGCGCGAATACAATTTAGAATTATATTATAACCTATGTTTATTCAAAATCAACCTATGTGGGTTCTAAGGGTGTTCTCAAGCAATTCAATAAATATATCAGAGGCAAATTATAAACAAAATAAGTGAGTCATCATTTTGGTTAATAAAATCTAGAGGTGTAGATCATCTTATTTTTCATAGAGTTTCTCTGATTGGTTAAAATTTAAGACACGTATTTTGCACAATTAATTTTTAGCAAGTTGCTCTTCGATTAGCCGCATTAACATTCACTAAAATTTAATAGCCGCATTTCGCACTATAAATCTTCAGAAAAATTGCTATAAAGATTACCTAGAATATGGTTGCATCTCTATTTAACAACTTACTCATAAGATAAGTGACAACATTGTGAGTGCAAAGTAGTCGTAGCGATGTAAGGGATAAAAGCGCAGTATCTCATAAGGAAGTAAAATGTAAAGAACCTCTTTTCGCGATAATAAAGAAGGATCTCTCCCAACATTAAACATTAATTATCAGTAAGAAACGCTCTCTAATAAACTGATCCTAGATTATGATTGCAGCTAAATTATGCATGTACGTACGTACGTACGCGTATTGTGCTCCCAACCAATCATAACACTAACGCTGCAGTTCACTAATGATAAATTAAATTTCATAGGGTGGTCTGTGCGACAAATCGGGTGACTAATAAATAAAGTGCCTCAAAATATTTTTATCAACAAAAAAATGTCATTAAATTGTTTAAAATCTTTCGAATAATTATCTTGAAATTCTTGATGAGGAAGATTTTAATGCATTGATCAATGTTGGTAAACTTCTAAATGGCAAAACATTTAGAGTGCATTCAACAGTTTTAAATATAGGTCATTGTATTTTCGTAATGAATTAGCAAACATTAATAGAGATAGAAACAACATTAGAACGGTCAATCTGAAAAATTTTACGATTCAGCAATTTGAAATTATCATCAAGAACTAAATAATATTTTTATTTATTTTACAAGTTTAAAAATATATAAAAAATACTAATATAAAAATTAAATGTAAATTTTTAATTTGAAGGTATATCTACGGTGGAATAGTTTATTGGAAAATCTTGATATATTATTTATCTTTGATCTGATGGTTATTGTTTGCGAGTTTTTCTTTGAAGAGCTTGCTAAGCATCTCAAAAATCACTTTATTGAAACAAAGGCTTCTTTGCTTCATTTAAAATTTTCCTACATATATCAAAAATGTTTCAAAATAATACATTGCAAAAATTGCAAAATTGGAGCAATGATATTATAGTAAAGTATCCAGATAAAATTTTTGAATCAGAGGACTTTAATTCTATTCAAGAAAATGCATTAATATTGCTTGTTAAACGAGATAATTTACAAATGGACAAAGTAAAAATTTGGGACCGTGTTATTGAATGGGAAGTTGCACAAAGTCCATGCCTACCATCTAATCCTAAAAAAAATGATCTAATAAAAACTTTTTAACTTTGAAGACTACTTTACAAAATTGCTTACCTCAAATCCGTTATTTCTAAATATCTTGAGGCAATAATTATAGATAATTTACAACCATTGACAATTGCTAGACAAAAATCTATGGGATAATATATTTAAAAGATCAATATATCCAAATCAACCGATATCATCAGTAATTCTTCACCCGTGCGATTTTAAATCAAACATTACCACCCAGAACGACGGAACCATGTTCATTAATTATTAATGAAGCACATGTAATTGAGATTACTTCATGGATTGATAAAAGAGAATATACTGTAACAGATATCCTATGAATTTAAATTACTCCTTCGTGGAACCAGAGATGGGTTTGCCAAGGATTCATTTTGGAATTTATGCAATAAAAAAAACAAATATTGTTGTGATTGTAAAGATTAAAGACACTGACGAAATACTTGGTGGGTATAATCCTATTGGATTAGATAAAACGAAATTTCAGAATATTCAGAATTGCAACGAGAGCTTTATTTTCTCATTGAAAAATGGAACTATTCGAAATTCTATTTTAAGTTGTGTGAAAAAAAACTCTAAATATGCTATTTATTGCAATCCTCACAGTTGTCAAGTTTTCGGCGGTGGTATTGCAGGTAGTGGTGATCTAATCGTCTATAATTCTTCTTATAAATGTTGAACCTGTTTAATTCATATGAAAAACAAATTAGACGAATTAGAGATTCATCTACATACAGATATAGCAAATACTTTCGAGTAAAAGAAGTCGAAAATATTTCAGATTAGTAAAAATTCTTTTAACATTTAGACTTTATTAATAGCATAAAATCCACCAAATGAAAACATAATCACATCTATTAATTTTATATTGGCAGTAGTTTATTCACCAATTATGTTTATAAAATCAAGTCGAGATAGAAATTTGTTACATAAACTTAATTATTATCATCATTACGTATTATACATACATTTTTGCAAATCTAAGTTTACTTCAAATTTATATCGCTATGCACTACTGAAATTGAACCTAGATGCTGCATAAAAAATACGTGGAAAACCATGATTTTGATTGTAAGATCCTTTTAAAATTTAATTTGGGAAAAATTTTTGGTTTGTCTCTCATTTTCTTGTTACCTCATCATGGAAATACACACGGGTTTTATTCCATTTGCTGTCGAGGATCTCACGCAGCATTTCACTAGCATTGCTTTTTACTCGTCTATTTAATTTCATTTGTTTATTTAACTAGCTTTGTAGCTGTCCAACAGGTCTTTTTAATTCATTAATGGCTGTCATCCCACATCAGCTAGTTGTTTTTTAAACATTATGTAATTCAATAAAGTTATATATCATTTAAATTTTATATAAGTCTATAAACCAAATGTAGACTTATGTAATAAGAATTTTTATATGTAAATTACGTAAGTTTTATACATAATTTTATTTATTACTTATATAAATATAAATCTATCTAAATTTTATTTATATCTATATAAAGATAATTTAACTTACCTCAGATAGCGCTAAAAACCCTAGCGTCATCCGGAATAAATTGTAGCCAGATTTTTTTCTGGCCTGTATGTGACTTCAGATACTGATTTCCAGGTTTAAATAATTAATAGCAATTCCCTTTATATAAATAAAAAATACTATAAAAAGTACTAAAAAAACAATTTAAAAGACATTAATAAGTTACTAAAAGAACATTATAAAAATCACTAAAAGAATGACCAAAAGAATAATATAATTGAAATGTAAATCAAAAAACTCAACTAATATATATCAGATAGAAACTAGACTCAAGTCAACATGTAGTATAAAGAGCATAATCTTAATTTGAGTCAAGGCTATGTTTTTTAAGTTACAAGTCCAGTCCCTAATGTCAGGTTTGTGACATAGCGAAAGTTCTTTAATTGATGATCCACGAATAAATAAGAATTTGAATCATTAAAATCTATAACACATAAAATATCAAAATCAGCATTCCTGACTAAGTAAAATCAATTTTTTTATTAAGCTAATATCCTGTAAGTTTCTAATAAAAATTGTAGAACTAGCTTTTGTGATTATAATGATAGTAAGATCGGTAAAATTAATAAATAAGTTTAAAATTTTTTATAATACTATAGGAATAATGATTCCGACTTAACATTTTTTTACTATATTTTATTATAAAAATTACCCCAGTGTTAAGTTCCCATTTACTCGCCATGTTAAAGTTGGCGTTTAAAATAAGGTTAAAGACTGGTTTACTATGTAGCAAAATCGCTCAAGAAAAACTTTTTGCTAGAGCGCTAAAGCTGGTTTCTTATTCAGATTTTTGATAAATAAATAATTTTTGACGAAACGAACGTTTTTCCTGATCATGTTACACTACACCTGATCTTGAAATCGGCGTGCCACAAAATTCATGTGTGCTTTTGTTTATTGGCTGTTTCCTTTTAAGAAGTTTGTATTACCGGTACAAATAAGTAAAGCCATGCAAGGACTCTTTTCAGGATAAGTACACAACCGATTCTCTTGTAGCTATGTTGTCTTTCATGAAGCCTTCTTCACCTGAGATGCTAGATATGATTCGCATGTTAATTCACTGGTGTTTGTCTAGAAGGAAATAGATTGGACCAGTAATATGTTTGACCTTTCGACATAGGTTACAGGTAGGGTAGTTTTCGGGATGGTGATGTTATGGAGGGTTGCATATTTGCTTAAACTTGAGCCTGTGTGATGATGAACACATTCCCAAATATTCTCCAGTATTAATAATTAACGTTATCGATATTGGTTACTCCTATTGTCTTAATTTTCGAAATTCCATTTTAGCACGCATGTCTATATTCGTATTTAGTGGAATAACGATAACGATAAAACATCATACGATGAAAAACAACATGACATTTTTTCATCGGAGCATGTTTGACGTTAATTCTAATAAAAAATTCCCTATTATGTATTTTTGTATAACGATTATCGATGTTATCGTGTTATATTATGATAATGTGTGAAACTTTTGTCGTGATATTTTTGCATAGATGACTTTTATTGATTTAAATCAGGTGATGTTTATGAATTGAATATTTGTATGCGACGATTAGATATATTTAGCATCACATGATTACATCAATAAAAATCATTTTTCTACCCCTACCCGCTACATTCTGAACAAAAGAAAATCTATCGTCCTTTTTTTTTGAGGTCGATAGTTATGAATGTACAAGTAGATATTGGACCACTTGTTTCCCACTGCTTGGTAACTTATAAAAATTCAATTTACATTTTCGGAGGAACAATAGGATGCAGCAAATTTGCATTGACCAATTTTTTTCATTATGCAACGCCACCATTTTCGCAAGGTCAAATCTCATGGCAACCACTTTCGACAGAAAATGTTAAAAGTGTTACGGATGCCGGTTGTATCGTTGACGAAACTCGTGGCCTTTTCTTCGTAATCGGTGGCCGAGATTATCTAAATAATACTTGTCCTGGTATACAAATTTACGATTTTAACACTCAAAGATGGAATGACCCACAGTATTCACAAAATTTTATACCAAACGATTTTGTAACTGATTGGTGGGGACCACGCGCAGTATGGTTGCAACCAGGTCTTATGTTTATGTGGGGTGCGAATTCTACAACACAGGGTTCATATTTATTAGATATAAATGTTAATCCATGGCAATGGACAATCTTATCTGATAATAAGGTAAAATGATTGACATCATGTAAATATTAAATTATTTGAGTTTGTTTTTTATTAAAATTGTTTCATTATTTTAAAGAGTAATATTGTTCCAACTAAATGCGCTGGTGTCGTTGCAGTCAAAGGAAATGCATTCATATTTGGTGGTTTTGATAAATATAATTCCATCAATCCGACTACTTATATTTATTCACCAAGATATGGATTTATAATTCCTCAATTTCAATTGCCAATCCCATTTAATGATGGTGTTGTGGGTGTTTGGAATAATAAACTTACTATTATAATGATGGATACCAGGGGAACAGTTATGCAGGCAGTAAATTTTGATTTGAAAACTTTCAAATTTGATAATGTTATATCGGCATCATACATTCAAAACATTACAACAACTCGAAATCGAGGATATGGTGTTCAATTTTTGTGGTCTGACTCAATATTTGTAAGAAATTTTAAGATAATACTTATAATTATAATTGAATTTATTAATTTTAATATATTTATTTTTTTAACGAATCAAAAGATTTATGGTGGTACAGCTGGATATTGCAGCCAACCTCTCCTTGATACTTGGGTAGTTTACAATATGTCGAGTCAAAGATGGGAAACAAATTTTAGCGATAAAAAAAGCACTAACTTCATTAGCAATGACCTTTCCTTGCCAAAAGTCAATGATCTCAATATTAATAATGAAGATTCCGTGCTACCTAGTAATGGCATAGATTATGTGTCATATTCAACTAATGACAGTAGTAAAACTTTAATAATTATCATCATTATTTTATCTTTAATTATTCTCGTATTTAGTGTGACGCTTTTGTATTTGAAGAGGTTGGTTAATCGATACAAAGGAGGTAAATTTCAAATTAGTGAAATATCGTCGACAAGGGTGGTTGATTGAATTTTTTTTCAAATGCTTTCTATGACGAACAAATATCACAACCAAGAAAATTCACGTAAAAGTTTAAATTATTTATTAATATATTGTTTAGAGCATTTATAAATATATAGTTCATGCACATACTAATATACAGTTGGTACTTAGGATCTGTAGACAGATATTTCATGCATTCAAGCACTATTGATATATGCCTTGTATAAAATAAGAGTATTCAATCAAATTTATTTGCTAAATTACATAATAAAATTAAGACATGATCCGTGAAAAATCGGTGCTAATTTATTATATATCATAGCGATTCTTATATAAATGTACATCAGGTTGCAAAAATCCAAATAAGCCAAAAATATTAATATCGTGAACAATACAATGATGCCACACGGCAACTGTAAAAAATGCCAAAAAAATCTTTTTCGAAAAAAAATGTACAGGTTTGAGTCTCGTCAATAATTATTTACTTTGAAGAAATGGCAGATTTACAATAAATGCAGTAATATATATTTTTATCAATTTTGATAAAACAATATATGTTAAATTATATTTTTACTCAAATATATGCAAACTTCATAATTAAGTTTATGTTTTGTTACAAGCTTCTAAAAATCACCATTTTCATTCATAGAACAAAGTATTTCATCTTTGTGAAAAGCCAGAAATTCAGTTTTGAATAGTTGATAATTTAGACAAATCTTCTTCATATAATTTACCATGTTGAATATGTTGCAATAGTTTTTCATATATTTACTATATATTTATCTTTGATATGAATTTGCTGTTTCTTTATAAACCATCTTTTCTAATAATCATTTTATTTCTATAATAATTCTTTTTATTGACTCACATATTTGAATTTTTTTATTTTTTTTGCTGATTTACATATTTGAATTTTTTTCAATTTTCTTTTAACACTCAACTGCAAAAAAATTCTGTAATTGTCTTATAACTTTCAAGTGAAAATACTTTTTATAATTTAATAATTTTCAAATTAAAAAATTATATATACTGTTAATATAGTTGAAACAATGAGTCAGTCACTTCTTAATTGGATATTTTTATAATCTACAATTATGCTAAGTTAATAAGAGATATGTTAGATTTGTTGAGTTGAGTATTTATGATTATAAGATTTATAATGTAATAAAAGCAGTGAATTATTGAAAGCAAATTTATTATAATTATAAACTAACTGTTTTTGTAAGACTCAAAGTTTTTAGTATATATTTTCTATTATACAGTATATATATTTCTAAAAATATTTATCATATTAAATATATTATCATATATTCTTTTAATGTCTTTTATTACTTAAAACTAATATTTATTATATAACCTAATTAATTATAGTTTTTTCTATTTTTCTTATTATTCTTATTACTCCTATATTCATTAATAGTTTTAAATAACTTTTAGGATCTTTAATCTTGAAAACTAATATTAGATAGATAATCAACATAGTTATTAATTATTAGCAAAATTTTTAAGCAGATTTATATCAATATATATCAATTAAAATTAATTAATATATATTAATTAATTGTTATATATCAATATATATTAATTAATTATTATATAGAAGGACCTCTAGCAAAAGGTGGCTTTGAAAAAATTATGTAATTTTGAGAAAATCATATCCAAAATTGGTATATAACTATTACATATATATAATATTATTAAAATTATTAATTCAAATTATACAATTTTTTATTAATATATTTAGTAATCAAAATTTGTTTTATAAAGATATTTATCAGTTAATTAGATATTATATAAAATTTTATAATCTGATTGGCTGCCCCAAAGTCACTTTTTGCTAGGAGCACCCCCATATATTAATGTATATTACTAATAATATATAATGATTATTGATATATAATAATTATAAATGATTTTAATTACTATTAATTAATAATAATTTGTATAAATTTTATTAAACTTTTTTTAACTTTAAATTTAGTTTTCTTACTAATTAATAATTTAAATTAGCTTATATTTTACTGTAAATAGTATATATATTCAACTATATTATACTAAAGTTTTAGTCTATTTAGATTAATAGTTTTTAAGAAATCATTTATAAATGATAGTTAATTTTTTAAAAAAATTAACTATTATTTACAAGTTTTTAAAAACTATTGATCTAAATTGGTTAAAACTTTGATATAATATAATTGTATATACTATTTATATTAAAAGTTTGAACTAATTTGAATTACTAATTAGCAAGAAAACTAAATTTAAAATTTAAAAAAATTTAATAATATTTTGTTATATATTATTACTAATTACTAGCAATGATACTTAGTAAAGATATTATATATTAATAGTAATCTAAGAATTATAATAATATATATTATTTTTAAAATATTTTTAATAATTGTTATTATATTATATTAATTATCTTCTTCTATGTACTTCTGGAATTATATTTTTACAGCTTATATTATATATAATTTATAAATTATTATTGTAATAATACTATAATTTTTCTATAATTTATTATTATTACCAGATGCAGAAGTACAATGTGATTGGAAATGGTTGTGGAAAGAAAATAGAAATTTAACAAAAAGTAAGTGTAAATCATTAGAGGAGAGCAAGAGAATATCATTTAGAATTAAGTGTATCACTGATTGTTTGCCAGTGCTTAAGGTGTTAAAGAAGAGAGCACCAGACTTGTATAGTTCAGACTTATGTAAAAAGTGTAAAACGGAGGAAGGGTCATCAAGACATCTGGTCATTTGTGGGGAATATGAGGGCTATTAGAACAATATCGAAGAGTTAGCATGTTGGTTAGTATGGAAAAAGTTTGACAAGTTAAACAAATGCAAGCTTACAAGACATGACTTGAAAAGAATATTAGTTAGTGAAACAGAAGTAGATAGAATTAAACATAGAGAGGCATGTATACACAGGTTAGCAGTTGAGAGTATGTTTAAGAAGTTGTATGCTAAACAGATTTCACGTAAAGCTGTAAAGCAGAATATCAGATTATACGTTAAGATTGTAGAAGAGATGTTTAGAGAAGAAATTTGGCAGCAAAGATGTAGAACAGTAGTTGATTGGGAGAAAGAAAATAGAATAACAACAAAATTAAAACAAAGAAGAGACAAGACAGTTGAAAATAGTGAATGTAGTACAAAGAAAATAAAAAGTAAAGAAACATCAGTGAATAAGGTCAGAGAAGAAAAATACAAAGAAAGAGAGATGGAATGGAGGCAGTTGTTTATGAAAGGTGTAGATGAAATAATACAGAATAGAAATAGTCCATTCTGATTCAGTTCTTGACAGAGCTGACAAAGTTTCCTAATCTAGGAATAGGTTGGTGTGACAAGTCACATTTAAGTGCAGTCTCTGTACTTGGATGATGCTGGGCTTGCAATTGCAAAGGTGGATTACTAGAAATAGATAATGTTTCAATTAGTAAAAT